CCACTGCACTACCTAGAGATACAAAAAGAAAGTCAAAACACAGTCCCTGCTCTCACTGCTTCGTAGAGTAGTAGCTCAGTTCCTGTGAGCATACCACTTAGTTGATAATTCAAGTAGAGCACCACCAGGTGGACCACTCAGACATTGCACTCCCTTGCTGGATAAATAATACATTGCCAGTGTTGTAGTCTCTAGGCTAAAGGAAGGCAGTACCTAATGTAGACACACTAAGTGCCTTAAGTGAGAAGTCCAGTGTTGTAAGTGTCACAAATATTATTATTATTATAATTATTATAGTAATAATAATAAATAACTAAGCCATTTGCCATGAAAAGCCAGAATTAAATAAATAAATAATGGCCACCCCATGGCAAGACTGCTTCCGGGAGGTCAGGCTAGGGGAAAGAATATACATGGCATCCCACTTCTGGGCAGAATCCTTGCATGAACTCACAATTCATCTTAGTGTTACCTGGGGACCCCTAATCTAAAGCCCTGATTCTAAACCCACCCTAAGCACTCTAGGGAAAAAAAACCCACCCATGCTTTGCTAAAAAGCTCCCTGCAGCTGTGTCTGGGGTGGGCTCTGAGGGTTTTTTTGCTTCCCTTGACAAAGAAGGAGAAAATCATTCCTGGGACTGCGAGATGATTTCTGACAGTTAGAAAAGAGAAAGCCGGAATTGTTGTCGCTACAATTAGGAGATCATCAAAGCCTCATTTTGCTCCTCAGCATTTTGTTTTGAGCCCACGCGGGGCCCTTTCCAATTCAGTGCCAGCGGCTGATGAATAACTCCCACGAACAAAGGGTCTTTTCAGGCCCAGCGCCCATCATTATTAGAGGCCAGTTGCATAACTGTCACTGAGGACTAGTGTTCGAAGGTCTAGCTCTAAATTCGGTTATTCACAGCCTTCCCAGCTCAATATTATTGCTTAACTGTGATCATTTTCTAATTATCCTAATAATACCTATTAAATAATACCTATTAAATCACTTGAACTGGATAAGCACAGGCAGCCTCAAATACAACTTAACCTAATAAGCATCGGTCATTCATTAAGCAACAGGGTACCTTTTTGTCAGGGTTTGAATAGAATATGAAACCACAGAAGAGCATTGTTATGTCCCAAATGTTATTATAAGTTAGAGTGTATTAATTCTCATGCCTGGTTTGCAACCTTGCATTCGGGTTGCTTGGGAGCTGTGGCCATCTCACCCTTTGGTTCAGCTGCATCTCCGCCTCCACCCAGACCGATTCCCACAGAAAGGGCCCATAAACTTAACAGAAGGAATTAAATTACTAAGGATGTAAAGGGAATGAGCTGAATCAATCTTGCAGCTGATGAGATTCAGGCAGAGCATGGAGGCAGCTGTCAGACCACAGCTGCAAAACAGATTGGGTGTTCTTCTTTCCCTTTACCCTACTCGACACTCCCTTCTGCTACACAGGGAGCCTGGGGAGGAGAGACTTTTCAAAGTCAGGTTTCTATCATTAAAATTCAATGCTGTATAGGCTACTGATCTTTCTCAAATGGGCAGCAATTAAGATGCTGCTTTAACGAGAGTAGATGTGGAATGAAGTCTAGTTTACATGCCTTCTCCATGGTCTCTGCTCTGTAAAAATGGGTTTCCTTGCCATTTTGAGTACGGTAAGTTTCCAGCTGCCATTACCGGGGATTTCTTGTTCGTTGGATGCTAGATTTAGAGAAATGGAAGGGCCCTCAGGGGTCATCTAGGCCAACCAACCCCCTCATTTTATGGGGGAGTAAACAGGGGTTCAGAATGACTTGCCTAGTAAGAATAATAATAATAATGGCTAGCATTTATATAGTGCTTTAAGGTTTGCAAAAATGCTTTACAAGTATCTCATTATTATAATACTATAATTATCCCCATTTTACAGATAAGGAAATCGAGGTAGACAGAGGGTTAGTGACATGCCCTAGGTCACATAGCTAAGAAGTATCTGAGGCAGGATTTGAACCCAAGTCTTCCTGACTCCAAGTCCAATACTCTATCCATTGGCCCACCCACCTAGCTGCAGAGTCACACAGGCAGAAAGTAGAGAGCTAGGATTTGAATCCAGGTTCTTGAACTCCAAATCCAGGACACTTTCTACTGTACCACCTAGGCACAGAAACTTGGGAGATTAAGGGCACAGGCTTTAACTCGAATGGACAGAGAATTACAAAATCATCCGGTATCCAAAGCCCTTTATGACCTCCCCCCACAAACCACAAAAACACAACTTTCCAGCCTCCTTACACCTTACAACCCCACCCCAGCCACCCCAGTGCCTCACATACTCTTCCATCCATTGACACTGGCCTCCTGGGTGTTCCTTGAACAAGACCCTCCATTGCTTAGCTCCCAGCATTTTCTTTGGCTGTCCCCCAGTGCTTGCAATGCTCTCCCTCCTCATCTCCATCTCTTGACTTCCCTGGCTTCCTTCAAGTCGCAAGTAACATCCCATATTCTACAGGAAGCCTTTCCCAGCTCATAATGCAAGCACCTCCCGTCTCTTAATTATTTACAGCATGTACTGAGCATAGCTTGTATGTACATGCTTGTCTGATCATTGTTTCCTACTTTAGATTGTAAGCTTCTTGAGGGCAGGGACTGTTTTGTCTTTCTTTGTATTCCCATCACTAAGCAGGGGACCCATAGTATGCACTTAATAAGGGTGACTGACTGACTGACATTGACCGTTACTTACTAGAGCAGAACATGATCAAGAGACGTAAATTCATTTTGTGAACACTCATTTCTGACGGATGGCTCTGGGCCGTTGGAAGAGAAATCCATTAAATATTTATCAGCACTCATATTTTAAACTTTAAAATAATTTAAATAATAATACTAATAATGATATCTTGCTTTAGAGTTAGGAAACATTTAATGGTCATTACTCTCACGGGATGTTCACAACCATCCTGTGAAGGAGACAGAGCAGGGACTATTCTCTACATTTTATAGATGAGCAAACTGACTTGCCCAAAATCACACAACTACTAAATGGTAGAAAAATGAGATGTGAATCCAGGCCTTCTGACTCCAAAGTCAAGGCTCTTTCCAATGAACCCCACAGCCTGCCCCTATTCTAGTCAATTCAATACACTCCCCAATTTTTTGTTAAGTATTTACTATGTGGAAAACCTTTTGCCACATTGTGAGGTAGAGGCAATCCTAGGTTCTCAAAGGCTAGACTAGTGTGGGAAGAAGGGCCTGGCACCTCTTAACAAGCTAGAAGGGCTTTAAAGAGGAGTCCTGTAACAAACTGGGGGTCTGTTGTCTCAAGACCTGACCAGCTAACTGATTGTAGACAGCTTTATCACTCATGACCAACAAATAATACTAATCATTCTTTTTTTGCCACAGCATTTCATGAAACTTGTCTTCGAGGACACTGAGGAGGTGCTATTTGCATTATTGAAAGGAGGGACCATGCAGAGAATAATAACTTACCCAAGGGTACCCAGGCAGTAAGTGTCAGAGCTCAGGTCCATTGACTCCTTGACTAGTTAATCAGTCAATAAATTTATGAAGTGCCTACTGTGTGCTTGACTCTTCTTTGGAACAATACAAGTATGGACATATAGGTTGACAATTTCATTCTCATTACAACCTTGTGAGCCATGAGGGAATCAATACTGTCATTTTACAGCCTAGCCTGTAGTTCAAGAAAAGTACTAGATGGAATCAGAGGAGAGATCTTGACAATCTAGTCTAACTCCATCATTTTGCTCATGAGTAAACTGAGGCCCAGACTGGGGCGGTGACTTGCCTAAGTGACTTGCACAGCCAGAAAATAGAAAGCCCGTGTACTTTCCACTACAATTGTCTCTATGCAAACTCCCTCCTTAGTTCTAGTTCTGATCTTTGGATCCAGGTAGAACAAATATATCCTTCTTTCCTTCCTTCCTCCCTCCTTCCCTCCCCTCTCTCCCTCTTTCCTTTCTTCCTTTTTCCTTCCTTTCTTCTTCCTTTTCCTTCCCTCCCTTCTTCTTTCCTCCCTTCTTTTCCCCTCCCTCCCTTCTTCCTTCCTTCTCCTTCCCTCCCTCTCTTCATTCCTCCCTCCCTTTCTCTCTCCCTTCCTTCTTCCTCCTTTCCTTCCTCCCTTCCTCCTTTCTTCCTTTCTTCTTTTCTCCCTTTCTTCTTCCTTCTCCTTCCCTCCCTTCTTCTTTCCTCTCTTCTTTTCCCCTCCCTCCCTTCTTCATTCCTTCTCCTTCCTTCCCTCTCTTCCTTCCTTCATTCCTCCCTCCCTTTCTCCCTGCCTGCCTTTTTCCCTCCCTCCCTGCCTTCCTTCCTCCCTCCCTTTCTCCCTCCCTTCCTTCCTCACTCCCTCCCTCCTTCCTTCCTTCCTTTCTTCCTTCCTTCCTTCCTTCCTTCCCTTCCTTCCTTCCTTCCTTCTACCCTCCCTCCCTCCCTTTCTATTGCTTTGGAGCAGATGTATCTGTGGTAAATATTGTCATGCAGGTCCATGCACCCACATATTCACTAGCTCAGAGACATGCGGACAGATGGGTTGGGGGGAAGGAGGGTGGGGAGGCTCGGTGCATGAACCCTCATCTGCATGGTATTTTCAGAATTACTAGGATGCTGGAGTCCCAGCTCTTGCCCACAGCCCCAGTCCAACGTGGCTGTGCCTCTCTGTGTCTTAAGGCCTGTATGTTCTTTGCCTTAATCATCCCCTAATCTCATTACCGATAGCCTTGCAGAGAGCTTCCCCATCAGCTAGCTGAGTACTGGCCCTCACTGCCCCAGCGTTAACTCGGTTAGGGGGCCGAGGCGCAGGCCCATTCGGCCGGCAATCTGAAGTTAGTCTCGCTGACAATTGGATTGTGAAACTCTGAAGCAGTTTTAGCTTTGACCACAAATATTCCTGTTGACAGATCCACAGAGAGACCTCATCGCTTCGTGTCTAGCTGCCAGTGGACAGCCGCGCCAAGCCACGTGGAGGTCAGGCTGCCCTCATGTAATTTGTCAAACCAAATCGGCCTACCTGACTCTCCTCTCAGCGCTTTCTCCAGCTCAACACCCTGGATCTCCGAGGCTCTTTGGCGCTCTTCCACCTCTTCTAACTGACGCTGGATAGCCTGCAAAATGGTGTACACAAATGAACTTGTCAACACACACACACACACACACACACACACACACACACACACACACACAGAGTTATGAGGTGAGGCATGTAGGGAACTAATTGGAACTGACTTTCTTTGGGTGTGAGAGGGGACCACAACAGAGTAGGCCAAGTACTCATCGACTGCCTCAGGAGGTAGTGAGTTCCCTATCAATGGAGGTTAGAGGGTCATATGATCAGAGATCTAGATAGGACCTCAGATGCCATCTAGCACCACCCCCTCCTTTTACAGATGAAGAAACTGAGGGCCAAGGAGGTTAAGTCACTTGACAAGGTCACACAGATTGTAAGCAGCAGAGGCAGGATTTGAACCCAGGTCCTCTGACTTCAGAGCTAGAGCTTTCTTAACTGTACTACAGAAGTATCAGACACCTAACCTTTCTGCCAATAACCTTCCCAAATACAGCCCAACCAATTAAAATGTAATTGGGAAATTCTTAACAAAATAAAGAAAAATACAATTAAGCATAGATATCATGTTTGAAAACTAAGTCAATACACAGCCACAGGGATCCTTACATACAGATTAGTGGCCACATTTCTATTTCAGTTAGTTGTACTACAGAGTTAAGCACAGCCTGGATGACCCCTAAATATTTCTCTTTTTCACAGAATCTGAGACTCTAAGAAGTCACCCTGCCCCACCATGAATTCCCTCTACAAGAAGCCTGACTAGGGGTGCCAACCCTTTGCTTGGACTGAGAGGAGACTTCCTACCACCCAAGGCAGCCCATTCCACTATCTAAAAGTTCTCATTATTTGGAAATTCTTCCCCAAAGGATCATGGGACTTAGAATTTGGAGAGATCTTGGCAATACAGTCTAACTCCTTCATTTTGCATTTTGTGGAAACTGAGGCCCAGGTTAGGGAAATGACTTCCCCAAGGTCACACAGCTAGCAACTAGAAACCCTCTGTATTTTCTACTACAATTGTCTCTATGCAAGTCTCCCTTCTTAGTCCCAGTTCTGTTCCTTGGATCCAAGCAGAACAAGTTCCTTCCTTCTTCTCTTATTCCCTCTCTCTCTTCCTTCTTTCCTCCCTTCCTCCCTCCATCCCTTTTTTCCTTTCTTCTTTCCTTCCTCACTCCATTCCTTCCTCCTCCCTCCCTCCCTTCCTTCCCTCTCTCTTTTCTTCCTTCTCCCTCCCTCCTTCCTTTCCTTCCTTCTTCCCTCCCTCCCTCCCTCCTTTCCTCCCTTCCTTCCTTCTTTCTCTTCTTCCTTCCTTCTTCCCTCCCTCCTTTCCTTCCTTCCTTGCTCCCTCCCTCCTCTTCCTCCCTTCCTTCCTCCCTTCCTACTTTTCTCCCTTTCTTCTCTCTCTTCTTCCTCCCTCCCTCCTTTCTTTCCTTCCTTTCTTGCTCCTCCCTCTTTCTTCCTTCCTTCTTCTCTTCCCTCCTTCCTTCTCTCTCCTCTTCCTTTCTTCCTCCTTAAATATATGTAAGAATATACACATATACATACATACATATATACCCCTTCAGATATTTAATGATCATTATCATGCCCTTCCTACCCAATCCAACTCCCCCACTAAGTTTTCTCTTTTCAGACTGAACATCCTCATTTCTTTCAGCAGATCCCCATATGGCCCGGCTTTAGAATCCTCCTCATTCTCCTTGGAGGGCCTTCGTTCACACAGTTAGAATTTAACCCTCCCATCCTTTCACATAGCAATGATGATGATCTGCCTGCCCACTCCCACCTCATAACTATTACCTCATCACCAGTGAGTCCACACGGCACTCGTGACCAAAACCACAAGAAGCCAACCATCCCTTTACCTGGGCCTTGTAAAGCCTTTTGAATTCCTCTTGCTTAGCCAGCAGTTTGGAGGCCTTCTCCATCTTCCTTATTCTTTTAAGTTTTCGTCTTTCCTACATGGGCCAAGGAAGAAGACAAAAGGTGAAGGGCAGCAATAAATGGATAGGAACTTGACAGAAGAATGCTCCAACCTCTTTCCACTGCTCCGTTCTTGCCCCAACTTACCCGTTTTGCCCACTTCTCAACCAACAGGACCTTTCAGAAGCTTTAGGAGAAGCTAATAAGACAATACTTATGATGCCTACAATCGTGTAAATAAAAAGCATACCATGACACAGTCATGCCGAGTAAATGTTGTGTCTGTTCATGGCTCCGTAGAAAGGATGCTGAACAGACTGCTATCTTTTCCTTGGAAAAAGTGGTGGGCTTAGTGCCAAATGTTGTATACACCCTTAGAGGCCTTTGTCTAGTTGTTTTTCTTTGTTATAAGGGAAGGTGCATTGGATGGGGGTGTTGGGTGGGTCAAGCTAGAAGTGTCTCTGATATAAAAAACAAAAACCCCCCAAAACCCCCCGTCATTGCAAATAAAATTTTGGTTCCAAAGCTTTGGAGAAAACTTTCTGGGGGACCAAATGGGTTGAATTGAGAAAAGAAAACAATTAGACCAGTATGCTCCATGGGAGCATATCCATATCCTCTGTGGAAGGCAGTATGGGTTATCGCATAGAGAGATAGCTTTGAGGCCAAGGAGTCCTGAGTTCAAATCCTTCCTCTAACACATGTTGGCTACATCATCCTGGACAAGTTATTTTACCTGTCAGTTCTCCAGGTGACCCTCTAAGACTAGACATTTCAGAGAAGGTGCTAGGAGAGGGAGTTCCTCCCTAGGAGCTCTTCAGATGAAGGAAGTCAGAGGTCTAATCTCTAACTCCATATGCAAGCTATTTTTGCACCAGGAATTATGAAGGACACTGAAGATCATAGGTTTGTAGATTGTGAGCTGGAAGGGGCCTTAGGGTCATCTAGTCCAAGTCCTTGAACAAGTCACTTACATTCTCTGTGCCTCAGTTTCCTCATCTATACAATGAGGGGGTTTGGCTCAATGGCCTTTTAAGCCCTAAATATATGACCCTATGATTCTCTTATTTTACAGATAAACAGATTGTAGGCCTAGGAAGGTTAAATGACTCACTCAAGGTCATACAAGTAGTAAGTGGCAGTAGGATTTGAAACCAAGTCTTCTGACACCATAACTGGTGTTCTTACCACTGTACCAGGATCTTGGTTCAGAACTTACTCTGGACTCTTACTAGCTATGGAACTCTGAGCAAATTATTTATTTATTTTTGTTTATTTATTAATAAATTAGTTAAATGATAATATTATTTATGTAGGGCAGCTAGGTGGTATAGTGGATAGGGCACTGGGCCAAGGGATAATATAAAATATATAATGTGAAAATATAATAAAAATAAATAAATCATTTCATTGTTATGAGGTTCATTGAGTCTCCATTACCTCTTGTATAAAATGGAGATAACAATAACTCTAGAACTTACTTTCCAAGACTGTTGTGAGGATGCAAAAAGATGATTTTTTAAAAGCATTTTCCAAACCTTAAAGTGGACTAAAAATATCAGTTGTTAACAGTGGTGGTGGCACCTGCAGGCCCTTACACACCAATACCTTGTGGTAACCAGGTTATACTTCTCACCTTCTTAGGTTATGGTTACCCATGAGGATCTTGGGAAGCGGGGAAATTATCTATCACGCCAAAACATTTTTGAGCCAGAATTCTCTCTAGCCTAGTATGACATGGGGAAATAGCTTGAATAATAGCTGGCATTTCTATAGAGTCTACTTACATACCAGGCACTGTGCAAAGAGCTTTACAAACATTCTCTTGTTAGATGCTCATAACAACCCAGGCAGGTAGGTGCTATTATGATCCCCATTTTACAGCTGAGGAAACTGAGGCAAATAGAGTGACTTGCCCAGGGTCACAGAGGTAGTAAGTAGCTGGGGCTGGATTTGAAGTGACGCCTTCCTGTCTCCCAACTAAACTCACTTTCCTTTTTTGCGCCTCAGTTTTCTCATCCACAAGATGAAAGGAATAAAATAGGTCCTTTAAGGCTCCTAGGTGGCTTCCAACTCTAAACCTCACGAGTCTCCATAATTGTTTTCATTGTTCCCTTCACTTTGAGTGTGGGGACAGAATTCCTGCCAAAGGAATGTGAGCATATTTTTGGTTCAAAGAATAGAATCATCATATACTGGGGCTGTATTTGTATTCAGGTCCTCCTGACTCCAGGGCTGGTGCTCTATCCATTGTGCCACCTAGCTGCCCAACACTTGTAACTCTTGAGAACTGTATTGTTATCATACCATTTAAAAGGGGTATACATAGACAGAGGGGGTGGGTATAAGTTGACTTTGATATAATGATAAAAAGTCTAGTTAAGTGGATTAAGTGGATCTAATTAAGGGATTGTACTGGAAGAAAAGGAAAGGAGGAGGCAAACAAGGGTAAATTACATTACAGGAAAAGGCACAAAAACCTATTACAGTAGAGGGAAAGAAGCGAGGGAGAAGAGCATTGTTTGAACCTTACTCTCATCAGATTTGGTTCAAAGAGGGAATAACATAATCAGTTAGGTATAGAAATCTAACTTACCCTATAGGAAGTAGAAGGGGAAAGGGAAAAGAAAAGGTAGGGGGATAATAGAGGGGAGAGTGGACTGAGGGAGGTGGTGGTCAAAAGCAAAACACTAGCAAGGAGGGAAAGGGAGAAAGGAAAAAGAAAAGCATAAAGTGGGGCAGAGGGGGAAATAGGATAGAGAGAAAGACACATAGTAATCATAACTGTGAAAGCGAATGGGATGAACTCTCCCATAAAATGGAAGCAGATAGCAGAGGGGATTAAAAACCATAATCCTACAATATGTTGTTTATAAGAAACACATTTGAAGCAGAGGGATACACACAGAGTAAAGGTAAAAGGCTGGAGCATAATATATTATGCTTCAGCTGAAGTAAAAAAAAAGTAGGGGTAACAATCCTGATATCAGACAAAGCAAAAGCAAAAATAGATATAATTAAAAGAGATAAAGAAGGAAACTACATCCTGCTAAAAGGTACCATAGACAATGAAGTAATATCATTACTAAACATATATGCACCAAGTGGTATAGCATCCAAATTCCTAGGGGAGAAGTTAAGGGAGTTACAAGAAGAAATAGATAACAAAATTATACTAGTGGAGGACCTCAACCTCCCCCTCTCAGAATTAGACAAATCTAACCACAAAATAAACAAGAAAGGAGTTAAGGAGATGAATAGAATTTTAGAAAAGTTATATAGGGTTGACCTCTAGAGAAAATTGAATGGAGATAGAAAGGAATATAAAACTATCAGCATAATTGACCATATCAACAACAAAACTAACAGAAATCATAAGATTATCTCAATAGATACAGAAAAGGCTTTTGACAAAATACAACACCAGGGGCAGCTAGGTGGCGCAGTGGATAGAGCACCGGCCGTGAAGTCAGGAGGACCTAAGTTCAAATTCAGCCTCAGACCAAACACTTGACACTTATTAGCTGTGTGACCCTGGGCAAGTCACTTAACCCCAATTGCCTAAAAAAAAGAAAAGAAAGAAAGACAAAATACATAACTACAGAGCATAGGAATAAATGGAGTATTCCTTAAAATGATAGGTAGCATCTATCTAAAACCATCAGCAAGCCTTATATGTAATGGGGATAAGCTAGAAACATTTCTAATAAGATATAATCTATATATATATATATATATATATAGATATATATAGATATAGATATAGATATATATAATTAAATTATATATATATATAAAATTAAATATATATCTTATTATATACTCTCTCTCTCTCTATATATATATATACATATATATATGAGTATATGAGTATACATATATATATATATATTTGGCTAGGCAATAGGGTTAAGTGACTTGCCCAGGGTCACATAGCTAGTGAGTGTCAAGTGTCTGAGACCAGATTTGAACTTTGGTCTTCTTGAATCCAGGGCGGGTTCTCTATCCATTGCACCATCTAGCTGCCCCTTCCAATAAGATCTTGGCTGAAACAAGGATGTCCATTACCACCACTGTTATTCAATATTGTACTAGAAATGTTAGCGTTAGCAATAAGAGAAGAAAAAGACATTGAGGGAGTTAGAATAGGCAAGAAAGAAACAAAGCTATCACTCTTTACAGATGATATGATATTACAATTAGAGAATCTTAGAGAATCAAGTAAAAGATTACTTGAAATAATACAAATTTAGAAAGTTGTAGGACATAAAATAAACCCACATAATTAATCGGCATTTCTATATATTACTAGCAAAGCCCAACAGCAAGAGATAGAAAGAGAAATTCCATTTAAAGTTACAGGAGATGTAAAATATTTGGGAATCTACCTGCCAAAACAAACTCGGGAACTATATGAACACAATTACAAAACACTTTTCACACAAATAAAGTCAGATCTAAATAATTGGAAAAATATCAGTTGCTCATATGTAGGCCGAGCTAATAAAAATGACAACTCTACCTAAATTAATTTATTTATTCGGTGCCATACCAATCAAACTACCAAAAATTATTTTATAGAGCTAGAAAAAACAATAACAAAATTCATCTGGAAGTTCCAGAATATCAAGGGAACTAATGAAAAGAAATGCAAGAGAAGGTGGCCTAGCTGTACCAAATCTTATTATAAAGCAGCAATTATCAAAAGTAGAATTGAGCAAACCCACCACTACCTGCCCAACCCTAAATGGAAACAAAGTACACGTCCATTGATTGGGGACAGGCTGACCCAACTGAATTTCTGTGAACAGGATGGAACATTACTGTGTATTAGGGATTAATGACTATAAGGAATTTAGAGAAGCTTAAGAAGTGCTATATAAACTGATGCACAGTGAAGCAAGTAGAACCAGGAGAACAACACACACAGTGACTACAGTAACGTCAAAGAAAGCAGCATTGAAAGGCAGCCAAATGCTGATGAGTTAGAATGACCCATCTTGGCCCAGAGAACAGGTGACAAACCACCCCTGAC